GGGTCCTTGCGCCCCAGGGCCCGGCCGGGCGCCCCCTCCCGCGGGTGTTTAGCGGTGAGGGTAGGGGTGGGTGTGGGCGCTCTACGGGGTCTCCCATCCCCTCCCTGGGGCCCCCAGGGAAGCCAGAGTCGCTGGCGCCGCAGCGCAGACCTTTCTGAAGGGCTGCGCAGCCATCCCGGGACCAGCGCTGAGACCTTCCCAGCCCAGCGCGGTCCTCGCGCAACCTGGGGCGGGCCTGATCTGGGGGCTCCGACTCCGCGGGCCTGCCAGCTTCCTCTTCTCAGAGGGGGCAGTCCACACCCTGGGCGTCCACCATGACACCCCACCACAGCCCCGGGGTTGGGGTGATCGTCCCCATGCAGAGCCGACAGAGGCTCGGTTAGGCCACTTGCTCTGATCATGCCGCCAGCAGGCCTGGGCTGGGCCCACCGCAACCGCAGGACCAGGATCACGGGGGAGGCGCTTGTTGGAACACGGGGTGCGGAGCGCCCCAGGCCATGGACTCCAGAATTGCGCGCTGGCCCAAGGCTTTAGCCTCTCTTACAAGTTCTCAGTGACGACATGCTACCCCCACCCCCTCTTTGAGAACCGCCTTCAAGTACAGCGTCCAGGCTGACCAGGGAGGTTCTCCTCAGTCTGAGGGGCACCAGGCTCCCTGGACTCCCCTCCCAGCCTTTGGCCTGTATCACTGGACACCGGCAGCTCCTCTGTCCTCCTGGGATTGGCGTTTGATCTGGAGAAGTTTTCACCCCAAAGGGACAGGTCTCTCACGCCGGGGCTCCAGGCTGCGTAGGGAACAGATAGCCAGGCCTGGAACCGCCGAGAGGCAAGGCCGGTCCACCCTGGGCAGTTCGGGCCAGCTCTGTGCAGGGAAGGAGCCCTCCCTGTGATCCCTGTGCCTTTAATTTCGCCGCCTTCCCCAGCCGCCCCCCAGGAGAGAAGGGAGCCTGTCAGGGCAGGCTGTGGTTCCCCAGCCCAGGAGGGAGGGGGCAGGTGGCTTCTCCCTGCACCCTGGGGTTGGGTGGATGCTGCTCGGATGTGGCCACCCCGTCTCTGCGCAGCCCCATGGCCTTCCATGTGGGACAGGAGGCAAAACTTGGGGATGGGCGCTCCCAGGACCCCCAGCCCCAAGACCCCCACCCCCCAGCAAACAGAGGGACTCAGGACATGCACGGACTGCCTGGGTTAGTGACAAGTCATGTGGACCGGAGGGGCCAGGACCTGTTGCCCACCAGCTGCCCCGGGCTCCCGGGCTCTCCTCTGCAGGGGATGGGCGTCGGAGCGGGGGCAGCTAATGTCCCTCGGAGTGACTGGCAGGTCCTGAGCCTGGATTTCGGGGCTGACGCCCTCCCTTCCCTGCAGTCTTGCGTCAGGTTCTGCCAACCTGTTGGAACAAACACAGGCCTGGTTGCCATGGTGATCATAATGGCTTTGGGGTGAGAGATGTGACTGCAGATGTTGTAAACAGGAAATCAGGAGGGGGCAGCGGCCCCTACCCCACCCCCTGGGGGAGCCAAGGCAGCTAGGGCTAGGGGCGTCAGCCCCTAATACTGCACCTGCCAGGGCTGGAGGGCCCTTGGGGACCCCTCGCCCCCCTTTTACAGGTAGGGAGACTGAGGTCTGCAGTGGGACGGGCTTGGCCAGGGTCCACACTCAGCCCCAGGGCTCCTCCCCCCACACCCAGTCAGTGGGGGTTGTTGAGTGGATGAGGGTCCCACTCGGGGACTGAGTCTGAAGTCAGTGCGACCTGAGACAGAGCCACGGACCCCCGCCCCAGCGCCTTCTTTCCCCTCCCTGTTCCTCAGTTTCCCTCATCTGTAAAACTGAGTGATAGCAGCATCACCCAGCGGCAGTTGGAGGACCTCAGCGAGGTCTTGATATGAAGCAAGCACCCCAGTTGGCTCTGAATCCTCCGGGGGTCCACGGGGGTAGGGCGGCGGCCCCAGAGCGCGGGGTCCAGCAGGGCCTGGGGCAAGGCTCTCCCTTTGGGAACTGTTTCTGCCTGCGTAAGTTGGGAGTGAAGCCCACCCTTTTCTCTGACCCCACCCGTCAGAAGGGCAGGGAAGGCGGGCTGTTAGGCCCTTGTGGAATGTGGTCCTGCTTGCGCCCCTCTGCTGTGCTCTGGGGGTGCTGTGAGGGGCACAGCAGTGAGTTAGAGCCCAAGACACCAGCCCAGGTAGGGTTGGGGCTAGGCTGGGATTGCTGGTGCGAAGCTGAGAAAAGCCACTCACTGGCCAGGCTGGGCTCTACGCTCACCTTCAGGGCTTTGGGCAGAAGAGGGTCCAGCCCCCGGAGAGCAGGGAGAAAGGGGCTCACAGAAGGCAAGGGGGCATTTCTCCAAGTCAAACTGCCTAATTGTTTCAACAACTCAGAGCCCGGGCCACCGCCCCCTGGTGGCAGCCCTCAGAATTGCAGGCACAGCCTCCTATCAGACAAGCATCTCCCACCATCCTCCTAACTCCCGTTGGGAACAGAGCCAGGGAAAAGGAGGGGTCAGAGCCCAGGGACTCCGGCTAGGGTCCCTGAAGACATCAGGAACCGGCCCCAAGGCCGTGCATCCCGGGGTGTACTGCCAGCAGAGAGGAGGCGGGAGAGCCTGAGAGGAGGGTTAGGGCCAGGCGGGAGGGGGTGCAGGCTTGAGGCCACACCTTTTGAGTCACTGGCTCAGAGGCGGTCCTGCTGCCAGCAACTACCCTGACGGCCTTGGGAGCAGAGACCAGCTGGTAGGAGAGGACCCTGAGGCTGCTGGCCAGGCCACGCTGGGTGCTCTTGAGCCTCAGGCCTTGGGGGGCACAGTCCTCACTACTGTCCCTGAGAACTGGGGCAACTGGGGTGAAGGGCTTTATTTGCTGGGCCAGGGAGGGTTCCAGGGGCAAAAGCATGGGGATGCCAGGACAGAGCTGCGACCAGAACCAGAGGGCCCCGTTCAGTGCACCCACTGTTCTGAGCAGGACTGAAGACCGGGGCCTCATCCTCACCTGTGGGGGCTCCAGACCCCTTTCTCAAAGGCAAGACCCCTCTGAGGGGTGGCTGAGAGGGACTCTCCGAGGGGAGCTTGTTGGGAGGAGAGAGGTGGTGGGTTTATGTTGAAGGAGGCCTGGGAGGGAGGACCCCATTCCTAGGTGGGGTCTGTGAAGTCTGGAGGCCTCTGGATGATTCTCCAGGGCTGCTGCTGCAGGACGCCCCCGACTTGGTACCACTCTGTGTGGGGTCAGCTGGGGACAAACCCCGAACCCAGAGCTCCTCCAGCCCCTCCCTGCTGCTGCTGGCTCAGACCGGTTCGAGGCGGCCAAGTTAGTGCTCAGGCCCTCCAACCTGGCAACTCGTTGTCATGGCAACTGCAGCGGAGCTTCCCGCCAGTTGAGGCCAAGCCTGATGCTGTGGGGCGCCTCGGATTGATTACCGCCTGGCCCAGGAAGGCCAGGGGAGACCAGCAGGGGGCGAGGGGGGCACCCCGAGGGCTGGGGTGGGTCCCGTCTCCCATGGCCCGGCTGGCAGCTGGCAGGGCAGGAAAGGACACAGCCCACAGGCCGATGCGTGGAAACTTTTTAATGAGGATTCATAAATACAGCGGTTAATGTGCTGCCCACAATCCCTCAGTACGCACAGGCGTCTCATCCTGGGAGCACACTCCTTCCCTACGTCAGAAACGGGGATCGTATGTCAGTTCTTGTGTTACAAGGCCCACGGCTGTTGTACAAAAGGAACATTTCATCAGCTGAAATCACTACGGTCCACTAGAAACACTGATCACTTTAGAATAACTATAAAATATATTTCCTTATATATTAGCCATGTACATGGGTGTGATTACTAAGTGTAGTTTGATCATTACAAAATAAGACATTCTGGGAGAGGCGATGCACAGATGGTGGTCCCACACCGACGTCCCCCGGGCGACCCACAGGTCACGGACACGAGACTGACTGCAGGACCTGCACGGACTCAGGCCCCACGAGCCAACAAGACCCTCAAGCCGCGCCATCTCCAGCTGGTAGAGGCCTTCAGGGGTCACCTCCAATGCCACCAAGTTCCACGGGGGTCCCAGGGGCCCGATGGCACCACACTGTCCTCCCTGGGGCCCATGGCCAGTGCTCCTACGACACCAAGCCTCGTGTGCCTGCCACGTCTTCTCGGGTACACCTGGCACCCCCCTCCTGAACCAGATGCCAGGCTGGGGCAGCCAGGACAGCCCGGTGGCCAAGCCGACCTGACCAGCCCGCCCTGGGCATCCGCCGAACATCGAGCCCACCTTGTCTTGGTCCCTGCACAGGAGACCCAGACGCCACCAAGAGGGTCTGCAGGCAGGTTGGGGTGCACACCCGGGGCCCTGGCTGTCTCAGCGCGGACACAGGAGGTGCCCAGGCTGCTCCGGCCTCCGGTCTGAGGAACAACTCTGGTCAGTCCTGGTCACTGAGACGCGGAGAGGTTGCCGGTGCCGCTGGCGGGAACGTGGGGGCACCGCACCTCCTCCACCCTCTGCTACTTCCCGTCTCCATCAACACACCTCTGCCTCAGCAGCCAGGCCAGCGTTCTGAAATCAGCCCAGTCCGGAGACGCTGGCCGGGGGCAGCCGCCGCCCTCTGCAGCTGGTCCAGTCCGTGGCGGCCTTCTGAAGCTGAGCTGAGCAGCACCAACCAGTCCAACGAGCGTGTGGCAGCCAGAGAGTGGCAGGACCGAGTGGGCCTGGAAGGGCAGCTGCGTGGGTGTGTGGGCGCAGGCACCACGTGCATCTCTGGCCGGGAGGGAGGGCGCTGGTCACGGCAGCCTCCTCCAGGACCTCCGCTGAGGGAGCCGGGGCAGGACCCGACACTCGCAAGGTGGTCGTGCTCGGGCCTGGCCTGAGACACCGGAACGGCAGCGTGGCAAAGGCTGCGTGCTCACCAACTTCCGACCTGCGTGCATGCGGGGGCGACGTCAACTCCGCGTCACCAGAACCGAGCGCCCACACCTCCACAGCCAGCCTGCTCCGGACGCGGCCCTATTTACAGAGGGCTGGGACGCGGCTGCCGGCAGAGCTGTTCCCTGGTGGCAGGGCCTCCTCCTCCTGCTCATTTAATGACGATAACGCAACCAAAACCTTTCTATAAACAGTTTATTTACTCTAAACAGCAACACAGACAAAACGCCATAGAAACGCAAAGCGGTGCAGAAACAGCGCCGGCTCAGGGTCTGCGGCTCAGAGCGACACAGCAGCTGAGAGGACAGGCGGGGACAGTGATTCCGCGGAGGACAGCCGGCGAGGCGAAGCGCAGCGCGAATGTCGTGAAGCATGCCTGCATCCGAGAGAGCGGAGGAACGAGCTCCTAGGGGCTTACCCAAGTATAAAAGTTTATAATTTTACAGCAGTTGAAATACTGACATCAATATTAAAATAAAAGCAAGTTTTACATAACAATCAAAAATACAAAAGACTGAAGGAAGAGACCCTGTATGAAAAACGGGGCAAGTTAGCGAATCGAGAATTGTAGACCAGTGGCGGAAATGGAGAATGGCGCCGGCCCAGCCCTCCCCTAGGTGACTAGTAATTGTACAGAGCGCTTCAGATTTGCAAAAGTGTTGTAAACAAGTTCTTGCCAAACCCATCCCTTCCTTTCCCGGTGCCCGCAGCCGCTGCTTATGAGGGCGCAAACTTCTTGGCTTGTGCTCGAACCCTTTTCTCATATTCCACTCTGTTCTGGCTGAGGAGGTGAAGAGAGAAAAGACACATTAGAGCAGCCTGGACGGGACGCCAGGCCTGTGCGGCCGGGCTGCTCAGCAGAGGAGCCGGGCAGTGAGGCCTGAAGCAGGGGACCTGGCACAGACAGCAGACGGGGGCAGCAGGGGAGGGGCAGCACCTCAATCAGAGGAGGTTTAAGGCACACCCATGGCCCTCCAGCCTCTGCACAGGTTCCAGAGCTCTGGCCGTTGAGGACAGAGGACTGGCTCCAGCCGGCGGCAGGTGGAGGGCTCGGGAGCAGGGTGCCGAGCGTGACCCGTGCGGGGAACCCGGGAGTCCTGAGCAGTATCAGCAGATCTCTGTTAGGTGCTGCAACAGCGTTAGTGATTTTGAAGAGAAGATATCAACTGCTCGACCCTTTCCGTTGCTCGCAGTTTTCATAATCAGACACAAACTCTCGGTGGGTTTCACGGTTTTTCCAGAGCAGCCCTCGGCCCAGGGCCACGTGCAGTGGGGTATGAGCGGCGCCCCCATGGTCTGGGGGTGGCCTGAGACCCCGCCTGGGGCCAGCTCTGCAAGGAGCTCCAGCACCTGGGGAACAGAAGCCCCAGCACGGCCACGGCAGCAGCAGAGGAGACCCCAGGCCCTGGCGTGTCCCTGCCGTGCCCTCCTCGGGGGGGAAAGGGCGCACTGTCTGCATGGAGCAGAGAGCGCAGAAGCCCGTCTGCCAATGTGCCCCGCCCTGGAGGCCACAGCCAGTGCACGAGCAGCTGAGAGCCGGGGGCAAGGGCTGCACTGGGACCCCCCCCTGCTTCACCGACTCTCAGCCAGGGGGACTGAAGCACCAGCAAGTGGGGTACATGCAGACGGTCCCCTTCCAGGAGACACGAGGAAAAGGGCTCGGACATGTCTCACAAAATGTGCTTTTAAAGCGGCTAGTTCTAGGAAGAAAACCGTTTTGCTCATATGAAAAGCAACATGTTAAGGTAGCCCAGCAGGAAGTCAGTCAGCAGCCTAGGAAACCACATGGCCTCGCGGTGGGGGGGCAGCGGTCCCACACGACCCCTCTGACACCCGTGAGCCGGCGGGGTCAGATGCCCAAGCTCAGCGAGGTGGGAACCAAGGAGGCTGGAGCCCACCCTCCCCCAGCGCGGGCGTGCACGCCTGCTCACGCCCGCGAGCACCTGGGCCCAGGTGCTGTGTGGAGAGCGGCCGGCCGGGCTGCCTGCCAGAACTGCGTCCACACAGAAGCAACAGGCTGCACCGGGCCTCTGGGCTGTGGCTGCCATTCCTGGTGAGGACAGACCTTCCAGCGAGTGCGGTCACAGCCCCGGCGAAGGGCCCCACAGCACCCAGCCCAGCCCAGGCCCCTAGAACCAGCCAGCAGTGCCCAGTGACCCTGCATCCTTCCCTCAGAGATGGCCACCCAGGACGTGTCCGCAGCAAACGCGCTTGCCACCGGCTGCTCGAAGGCCCCAGCCTTGCCCTGACCTGAGCCCCACTCTCCTCCTCCTGGAAGCCAGCTGCCTTGGAAAGAATGCACCCTTGTGCGTGGCCTCGCTACCCTGCCGCTCCCCGCCACGCACGTCGGTGTCTCTGAGGACCCCAAGTCACCTGGGGATTGTGGCAACAGGTCCTAGTTAGTGGGCCGAGTTTCTGCCAGGTGGCTGAGTGCCAGACCCCACCCTGAGAGGCCGTGGCAGTTCTGCCAAGAGGGCTGGGGAGCCCAGGCACCAGCACTGCTGGGGTAACAGCAGCCCCCAGCCAGGCCTGTCTGCCCTCTACCCCCACCTACACCTCAGAGCCAGCGGACGGGACCCCAAGGGGAGTTCACGGCCACAGCCAACAGCTGAGGGACAAGCGCCGGGCGGGATGCAGGAGCCCGGGTTAGGGAGGGCCACCACAGCTGGGGACCCTCAGCAAGCCACTCACCTCCTCGCCTGCTGGAGGAAGACCAAGTTGGTGCTCCCACTGGTGAGAAGTTTGGGGCCCCAGGGCAAAGGCACGCCCGTGGACAGACACCCCCACTCAGGCAGTGCCCACAGTGAGGGCCCCCCCAAGAGCCCAGACCACTGCAGCTCATCAAGGGACCTCTGCCCAGCCTCACCCCCCAGGTGCCCACCAAACACACAGCCATCCTGGGCTTGGTCCCCGTTCTTTCACCCCAGGCCCTTTGCACGTGCAACTTCTGGCCATGTCCTATGGGCTCTCAGCATCAGCTTCCAAGCCGCCTCCCTGACCACCCCCTCATGGCACTGACCCCACCAGTGCCTGGGTCACCTCCACCTCCCTTCCAGGTGCTGGGGAGACGCTGAGCGCCCTCCTCACAGGCAGCCTGGGCCGGGTGCCGGGGAGACGCCGAGGGCCCTCCTCACAGGCAGCCAGGGCCGGGTGCTGGGGTGGGTGTGTGTGCCAATGCAAAGCTTCAGCCCCCACGGGGCCAACCACTCACCAGTAAATCGTGTAAGCCTCTGCCTGGGCTGGGTCTTGGATATTTGGTTCATTTAGGAGCTCCTGGATTCCTAGTAAGATCTGTGGAGGAGACGCCGACAGGACAAGGCACAGGTGGGCAGTCGGCACACACGGCCACCCCGCCCACCCACCCATCTGCGATGCAGCCCATACCTGTTTGATCGTGATGGCCGGCCTCCAGTCCTTGTCCTCCTCCAGGATGGACAGGCACACGGTGCCCGAGGGGTACACGTTTGGGTGAAACAGTGGTGGCTCGAATTTACCTAGACAGGGAGGGGAACGGGGTTTTGGCAGCGACTGTTCGGAGTCTAACACGCCTCCCAGGGCACCGCTAGGCAGCCAGCACCTCTCCCTCCCTACACGTGTCGGGCTTTCCCCCAGAACCTCTGGCCAAAGTTACGCTGTGGCCCTGAGCTGGAAGGACTCGAGGTGGAAGGAGCAGAGAGACGTGAGTGCACACTTCTCCCTCTGAGAACAGAGCCTGAAGGGCGAAGCTGACAGGGACCCTTGCCCAGCCAGCTCCACCCTGGGGGCCGTCCTGGAGCCCACTGCCTGGGCCCCTCTCTTTCCTCCCGGGGACAGGCGGGGCACCGAGTTGCTCCAAGGGTTCCCTACGACCATCTGCTTTCAACATGGGAGCTCATAGTACCCACATTCTTTCTCAGGGAACAAAAAAGTTTCTTTTGTTTTCTTAAGCGGACGCTCACGGGAAACGGGAAAACATGGCAGATACAACAAGAGCCTCAACGGCCCCACCCCCACACGCCGATCCACTCCATCTCCTACCCCGGCACTTTTAACTCTTCTCCTCTTCGTTTTTAAACATTTTGCATCACACCCAGGACCATGCAGACAAACTAGTACAGCCTGAGAACTCTCAAAAAATGACCCCCCGTCCAAGACGGACAGGCACTGCTACCCAGAGCGCCCGTCACGGCGGCGCCTTCCAGCTCTGCGCCTCGCACACGGCGGCGTCCGCTATTCCTCAGGGCTCCGACAGCAGGGGCTGTGAGCCACGCACCCTCGCCCGGCCCGTGGCGGTTCCTGCTCACGAGTGTGGATGGCACGGGGACGGTCCCCCGTCTGCCCATCATGCTGCAGGCACGTGGCTGAGCCGCTGTGACCATCCCTGAGGGAGAGTTTCCTGGCCCAGGCGGGCAGTCCTGTGCGCGCTCGAGCAGACACCGCCGGCCTTCACAGCGGCGGCACAATCCACGCTCCTGCCAGCAGGGCGGGCGCGGCTCACGCCAGCAACGCCTGGTGCTGCGCTGTGGGTGTCATCCATCCTGGTGACGCACAGGCTGCCTCTCATGGTTCCATCTGCTTCCTGTCGCACACTGGGCACGTGCATGTACGGTCCACCGCCGCTCACTAAGCATTTCTTTGGGGAAGTTCTTGCTCAAGTCTCTTGCACGCGTGTCTGCGGGGCTGTATCTCGCCCCGGACACAAGCCCCTTGTTAATTCGATGTCTTGCTGTTTTACTCTTGTAGTGCGACCCGTCCAACCTGTCCACGTGGAGGCCCCCGACCTGTTCCAGCCATCGGTGGGCACGGCCTGTCTGAGCGTGTCATGTGACTGCAGCCCAGCCTGGCTCTGTCCTAAAGCCACGCAGGGTCCCCCACGGGGCGCGCCCAGGGCTCTTTCAGTCTCCTGCTGCCGTGCTGTTGTCATGGGCTTTCGCGGCCTAGTTTTCAGGGGCTCCAGAAGGGGGTGTGGAACAAGCGCCATCATGCTGTTGTCAGACCGATACCAGCCAAAAGCAGAGAATATCAGAAAGATGTTCACCTGTGTTTTATCAACTACGCAAAGGCATTCGACCGTGTGGATCCTAACAAATTACGGATAACGCTGCAAAGAATGGGAATTCCAGAACACTTGATTGTGCTCATGAGGAACCTGTACAGAGATCAAGAGGCCATTGTTTAAACAGAACAAGGGGACACTGTGTACTTCAAAACTGAAAAAGACGTGTGGCAGGGTTGCATCCTTTCACCATACTTATTCAATTTGTCTGTTGAGCAAATAGTCCCAGAATGCAGCATCAGGACTGGAGAAAGACTCCTTAACAACCTGCGATATGCAGGTAACACAACTTTGCTTGCTGAAAGCGAAGAGGACTTGAACCACTTACTGATGAAGATCAAAGACCACAGCCTTCTGTACGGATTACACCTCAACATAATACAAAAATACAACTAGACCAGTAAGCAACATCACGGTAAATGGCGAAAAGATTGAAACTGTCAGGTATTTCATCTATTTGGATCCACAGTCAACGCCCACGGAACCAGCAGTCAAGAAATCTAACTACGTACTGCACTGGGCGAACCTTCTGCAAAAAACCTCTTTCAAACGTTAAAAACCAAAGATGTCACCTTGAAGACTAAGGTGTGCCTGACCCAAGCCATGGTGTTTTCAGTCACCTCATCTGCGTATGAAAGCTGGACAACGAATAAGGAAAACTGAAGAAGAACTGATACATTTGAATTACGGTGTTGGCGAAGAATATCGACTATACCATGGACCTCCCGAAGAACAAGCGAGCCTGTCCTGGAAGAAGCACAGCGAGAACACTCCTTAGAAGCGAGGATGGGGAGACTTCGTCTCACGGACTTTGGACATGTTATCAGGAGAGACTAGTCGCTGGAGAAGGACATGATGCTTGGTAAAGCAGAGGGTCAGTGAAAAAGAGGAAGATCCTCAACGAGATGGACTGACACAGTGGCTGCAACAATCGGCTCGAACAGCATTGTGAGGATGGTGCAGGACCAGACGGTGTTTCGTTCTCAACGGCACCTAACCACCACAAACACTCCTGTCCGTGTCTTCCGGAGGACACACGTGTGCGTGTCTACAGAACACACGCCGAAGAGGAGAACCGCTGGCTCCCAGGTCAGCACAAGTTCAGTGTTAGCGGACCCCAGCAGTCAGCTTTCTAAAGTGGTCATGTCAATCACGCGCTCTCCAGCGAGCGCCTGCACACCCTTCTGCGTGGTCTCCTCACCCTCGGCTCTGCCTGCCCTTCTCGCTGCAGCCACTCTGGTGTGGACAGGACCCTGCTGTGCTTGTAAGTCGCGATTCTCTGAGACGAGGTAAGGTGTCCACGCAGGTGTGCTGGCCAGGTGGAGCCTCTTCTGTGACCTAACGGCTGCCTGCCCTTTCCTCCCACTCTCCCCTGGGGCTTGTCTCTTCACTCTCTCTGCTGTCTTTTGACCACGACGGCCTGCACTTCAATGTAACACAATTTATCAACTTCTCCCTCATGGCGAGCACTCCTTGCGTGTCCCTGGTTAAATCATCCTGCCCCAAGGTCATGCAGACAGTCTCCAGTGTCCCCCTCTAAACCCAGGATTGCTTCATCTTTCCACTCGGGGTCTTCGTAACATCGCGTCTTCCAAACCACAAACATGGCGTCTCTCTCCAGCGAGTTAGGTCTTCCTTGGTTTCTCTCAGAAACTTCAGTTTTCAGTATAGACGTCTTCAATATCTTCTGTTGGACTTCTTGCAAGGTACTGGATGTGACTGGAAATACTAGCTTTAAATTTTCATTGGCTGCAATTACGTGCCTTTTATACAACAGCCTTATTCGCTTATCAACTCTACCAGTCTTCGTGTTCTGAATTTTCTATGTACACAATCAGGTCCTTTTTCATTTAATTTCCCTTCCCAGTTCTCACGTTGTGATTCCCTCTTCTTGCCTCACTGAGTTTGCCTGGAATCCCGACATGGTGCCGCGGAGAGGTGAGCAGAGCAGCCATTCTCATGCTTAGACTTCCTTTTAGCGCAGCTGTTACCCATTCAACAGCTTCTCGCAGACGCCGTAGTAATAGAAAATACGCTTCTATATCTTCGATTACTAACCACAAGAGTAAAAAATTGATACACAGCTCGTATCTTACTGTGTGCTGGACACGGTTCTTTAGCCACAGAAGGGTCTGCTCATTTCCCACTGCAAGAGGTTAAGAGACGTAGAACCCGTCCCCCGACTCTTCAGAGTGTGCCAAGCTGCATTAACATCACCAGTCGCAGCCACTGCTTTAAATACAGTCTCAGCCTCTTCTCTGGGGGTTCAAGCCTTCTGTCCACCCATGCTGTGCGTGTGCAGACTGTGACAGAGCAGACAGGCCAGGCAGTAATGGGTCAGGGCACAGGAAGCCCGCTGCCCAGCCGGCCTCTGCACCGTCAGCCCTGGCCAGGAGTGGTAGGCCCCACAGCCTAGTTCTCCTCATCCACCACAACTTCTAATGGTCCAGGCACTCTTGGCCCCGAGCCTCAGCCCGGACCTCACCGTCCTTCTCTCCACGGGGCCTAGGAGCTTCCTAGTCCATCAGCACCAAGACCCCGGGGCAGCACCTAGGGATCAGAGCCTCCAACCAACACGTGTGCCCACACAGAGCCGAGTGGGACAGGCTCGCCCCCAGAGGCTCGACGGCCTCGGGAGGATGTCTGCTCTTTCTGCTGGAGGAAGCCGAGGCAGGCCCGCTTTCCTGAGCTTCTCTCTACTTACATTTCGGTGGTGAGGATGGGTAATCATCTTTGAAAAGCATCCGCAGTTTAAATAAGCCTCCTTCCCATGGAGTCTGTTGGGAAATAAAACCGCAGTCAGCTGTGCTGCATGCCTGGGTGCAGGGCAGGCTGGGAAGAGGGGGCCTGGTTTCTACCACACTTGCACGGCCCTGGGACAACGCAGGATGGCCTGTGGCCGGGTAGCGAGCGACCTAAGGGGCTCTCACACCACCCTGCCGCTGACTGTCCCCACCAAGGAGCTTCTGTGGAGACCTCCATGAGCTCAGAGGGTGAGGGGGGAAGGTGCCGTGAGCTGAGGCAGGGGCTGGGCTCAGAGGGACAGGGACCCGGGATGGGGTCAGGAAGGCCCTGTTATGGATGAAATTGTGTTCCCAAAAAATATGTGCTATAAATCCTAACTCTTTATACCTGTGGCTGTGATCCCATTTGGGAGCAGGGTTTCCTGGTTATGTTAATGAGACCAGTGTAGGGTGTGTCTTAAACCAATCACTAGAAATATAAAAGAGCGGATCAGGCACAGAAGCAAGTAAGCGCTGAGGGGGGAAGACAGACGCCCATGAGTGAGATCCCCAAGAACAGAAGCTGAAAGCGACACGGACCTCCCCCCGGAGCCGACAGAGAGCCTTCCCCTAGAGCCAGTGCCCTGAATCTGGACTTCCAGCCTCCTAACCGTGAGAGAAGACACAGCAGTTCTTTGAAGCCGCCCGTGATGCTGCTGCTGCTGGAGCCGTGCTAGGACTCAGAAGCCCCTGGGGGTACGGGAACTCAGAAGCCCCCAGGGGGAAGGGACTGTGAGCGTTCACAAGGAGGGGACAGTGACAGGGCAGGTGCTGCCCCTAAAACACGCACAGACAGGGCATCCAAACACGGCCCGGACGCCAGGGGAGCCTCCAATGATGGCCATCCTGGGTCCCACCCGCTGCTCAGCTGGAAGGGGAGGGGTAGGGATAGCTGAGAAGTATAGGTGAGCTCACGAGCCTCTGTGACCAAACCCAGGCAGCTCCGCAGTGCGAGGAGTGGAAGCGGACAAGGCCTCCAGAAGGAATCCAACCCCCTCGGAAGAGCTGTGTGGACAGCTGTCTGGAGCCACGTGGAGACCCCACCCACCCACAAATACGACAAGCAACGCCGCCGTCCCTGCAGCACAGCAGGGAGGAGTGTGGGGCGTGTCCCAGAGGACAGCCAGCGTGGAGTCGCGGTGCCCTGGACGCTCCTCACCACGCCGTCCCTTCCACGCAGGCCTCACCTCCCAATTCCCCACTGGGCCTGAGCGGCCGTGTCTGCGCCCTGACCCTCCACAGGAGCACGACCATCCCCCTTGCTGGCCACACCGCCCCCGACCACATGTCCCACAGGCCAGGTGACGGCAGGGCCAGGACGACCACAGCTGGCTGTGCCTTGGTAGGGCTGCAGCACGTAACACCCGTGGTCCTGCTGTGTGAGTTACAACCTTAAACGCCTCCAGCTCAGAGCAGCCTCTTACCCCCTTCTTCCCTGGAATGGCGCACTCCCAGTTCATGAGGTTCATCGTGCCATCGGGGTTTTTTGTTGGGACGGCCACAAATCCCTGTGGAGAGAAGGACACCACGCACGTCACGGCCACGGACCCTTGTGCACCTGCTGCTCGTCCGAGATTGGCCGCGGTCCGCCGCCCGAGCCGGACATGCGAACAGCTCTACTCACAAACGGGTGGTCTTTCCTCCAGGCCTTCCTCTCCTGGGCAAGTCTGCTGAGGGCGATCCCCGACATGGTCCAAGTCCTGCAACAGACACGGTGCTCAAGGCGGGAGCAGCGCCCCGCGGTGACGCCGCTGTGAGCTGCTCCTGAGATCAGGCCGCCGGAGCTCACAGCGGCCCCTCCTGTACTCCGCGCCCCCTGACCCCGGCGCCGCACACACACAGCGGCCCCTCCTGTACTCCGCGCCCCC